GGTCCGGGCTGGGGATTCGAACCCGCCACCTTAGGTGTACGTGGCTGGCGCCTTAGCCGGTTGAGCTATAGGCGCCGAGCCGAACTCATGAGCTTTCAAGCACGCCACCCACCTTGGCCACACTGAGTAGCTAAAAAACATAGCTAGAAAACCTCCAACTAACCAAACAAACAAATCAACCTAATAAATGCTGGATAAATGAGGAATTATCCCCAAATTTCTAATATTGTAGACATTCAGGATTGCAGATTTTCTAAGCCTTTTTGCATATTTACTGCCTTTCTAGAAACCAAATAACAAATTTTTTTTTCTCTTGTTTGGGCATGTATTAGATATTAGTGTTGAGTACATTGGATACTTGCTTTTCCATTCTTGTGATACTTCACTAAGAAGAATGTGTTTCAACTCTTTTCAGGTTAACATAAAAGATGTAAAGTCTCCGTTTATTTTATGGCTGAATGATACTCTATGGGTACCAGAGTTTATTAATCCATTCCTGGGTTGATGGGCATTTAGGTTGTTTCCACATGTTGGCGATTATAAATTGAGCTGCAGTAAACAATCTAGTGAACATGTCTTTATGATAAAATTATTTTTTTTCTTCTGGGTAGATGCCTAGTAATGGGATTGCAGGGTCAAATGGAAGGTCTATTTTGAATTCTTAGAGGATTCTCTGTATTTTGTTTCCAAAGAAGTTGTTACTAATTTGCAGTCCCACCAGCAATGTAAAAGTCTTCTCTTTTCTCCACATCCATGGCAGCATCTGTAGCTTTGGGAGCAAATAACAAAGCATAACTCCCTGAAGATTTTAGGGGAATCATGATTCAGATGCTAAAATCTAATAATATCCTCAGAGCTCCTTGAAATATGTCAGATTGCTTGCTCTGATGCTGAATGGCTTAGTCTACGGAGCTTTTGTTGTTATTAAGTCTATTTTGTGGAGTTTTTAGTTTCTCATCATTCTTCATGCATCTGACTTTGGCAGCTATTCTTTCTCTTTTCATTTTCTGCTTCTAATAAGATTAATTTGCTGATGATTCTGTTTGGAAAACTATATATATATTTTAGAAATGAGGGTTCTTCTGAGAATGAGACCTTGTAGTTTGGTGAATAGACTCCTCAGCTCTACCTCTTCACTCCTTTAGCATCTTTTGGGGGAATCTCAGCCCTATAATAATAGTTGCAAAGGCAGAACTTGATCTTCGTCTTTAAGGTATTTGTATTTAGACTCTTTTGGCAGCTCAGAGACATTTCTGTGGTTCTCAGCTATGTTTCAGATAATGGTTATTTTTCACTTATTTTATAGTTTGAATGATGTATTTTACGTAGAGGTGATAGGATAGGGATTGACGAATGGGTCTTATTTTAGCCCTCTTAATTGGGTTTTATATGGGATTATAACTGAAATTATGAAATTTCTTTTAAGATTAAGATTACAAGAAAAAAAGATAGTGAAATTATGTCTTTTATTTTTCTCTTTGTGTAGGAAATACAGATGAAGAGGACTGCAATTGAAGCTTTTAATGAAACAATTAAAATATTTGAGGAACAGTGTCACACACAAGAACAACACAGCAAAGAATATATTGAGCGATTTCGCAGAGAAGGGAATGAAAAGGAGATTGAACGGTAAGTATACTCAGTATCTCCAAGGACATCAGGGAGACATGACTTCTTTTCTTCCATGATAATTTCTGTCTTACCTGCTTTTACTCCCTCAAAGTGAACAGTTCTGCCATTGGAACTACTTGCTGTTCCACTTATACCACCAAATTATACCTCCTGTCTTCTGTGCTCTTTCTTCATCCCCCAAACATACTCCTGCTCATTCTTTAGGACTCTCCATGTTACTTTTCCTGGAAACAACTCCTTGATTCCCCCTAGACCAGTCAGTGTAGGGACTTTGTTTTAGTCCTTACATTGTCCAGTCCTGATCACTAGTGTAACACTTCCTGAATGCCAGGCCTTGACCGGCAGCTGTGAGCTGTGACACCACGGCACTCTACTGAGGGTGACAAAGTGAAACTCTGTCTCTAAAAAAAAAAAAATTGGAGTGGAACAAGATTGTAGCCTTGAAAACCAGGCTGACTCTTGCAGGTGGCTACAGTGGTTGTGGTTATCAAGTTGAAAGGGCCTGGACCAGAGCAAGGGCAGAAAAGATGGTAGAGTTAGTGGAAAGACTGAGGACTTCATACCTGACCAAATGTGGTAGGTGTGGGAGAAGTCAAAGATTATTGGTAGATTTATAGAGTGGGTAACTGGGAGATGCTGTTATTCACCAAAATAGGAAATACACGACTTCCTGTTTCTTTCTAATGAAGAAATAGGAAAGAACTTACAGCTTAGTTGCAGAGGGAGATAAAGAATATGACAAAGTTTTAATAGTAATATAAAGCTACATGTGATTCAGGGTTATAATCAGTGAATTTGAGGTTCCTGTGAGAACCCAAATGGAGCTGTCTAGATGGCAGGCAGCTGGTTTTTTGGATTTGGAATCTGGTAGAGAAAGGATTTGGGAGGCATAAGTATGTAGGTGATAGTAGATGCTAAGAATGAGATTACATAGAGAATGAGCATTATGAGAAGTGTTGGATTTGGCAACTAAAAGGATATTGGAAATTTTTTGTTTTTTAGAGACAGAGTCTCATTTTGTTGCCCTCAGTAGAGTGCTGTGGCATCACAGCTCCCAGTAATCTCCAGCTCCTGGGCATAGACGATTCTCTTGGCTCAGCCTACCAAGCAGCTAGGACTACAGGCGCCTGCCACAACACATGTCTATCTTTTGTTGCAGTTTGGTCAGGGCTGGGTTTGAACCTGCCACCTTCAGTATATGGGGCTGGCACCCTACCCACTGAACCACAGGCACCGCCCAGGATATTGGAAATCTTCATCAAAGCAAATTTAATGAAGTATTGGAAGACAGAGCTAGATAATAGTGGGTTGAGGAGTGAAAGGGGTTGAAAAAGTGGATAATAAATAAAAATAAATAATATGAATGGAAAAGCAAAATTATTTCTCATATTAACACCACAATATTAGTGTACGTCTGTGTGCATGAGTATAGAGCTAAGTGCTGTGGGGCAGTGTGCTTAATGGCTAAAACCATGGGCTTGAATTCTGTATTGGCCATTTATGAGCTGTGTAACCTTGAGTTACTTAACCTGTCTGAGTCTTTTTCCTTCTGAAAACTATGGATACTATCTTGGAATGCTGTGAAAATTAAATAATATGTATCTTGGCACATGGTGGGCTTTCAGTATTATTATTAATGAGGAAATGGGAAAGAACTTGTAGTTTAGCTATAGAGGAAGGTGAAGTAGCATGATGAAGTTCTAGTAATAATTTAAAGCCACATATTATTGAGTGACAAAGGAGTTATGTGGATAGCTGTTACCATAATGCTTCAGAGCTTAGCAAAACGTTTGTGTATTGGAAAAAATTATAGCCATCATCTACTGAATGCTCACCAACATTTGTTAGGCAATGTTCTAGGCCTTTTACATGTATCATCACATTTAATTAACACAGCAACCCAGTGAAGTAGGTACAGCTGTAGGTGCCCATTTAAACAGATGAGGAAATGAAGTCACAGAGAAGTTAAATAATTTGCCCACGGTCCCTGCAGTAAATGACAGGGCAGAGAGTCAAACGTAAGTAGACTAACTATAAAGGCGTTGCTCTTGACTGTTGTGCTATGCTTTGCTGCTGCCTCTTGAATATCATACATATAGCTTTACTTGTTTAGTCATGGCTGGACCCAGGACCCAAACAAGGTCACTGGGGTACTCTCTCACATCATCTTGATTCAGTGTTTCCCTGGGTTGGCTTTATCCTCAGGCAGGCTTTCCCTGTGAGGTGGCACCATTCTTGGGAATCCTAGCATTGCATATTCTTTAGCAACGCTTGTGGAAAGAGAGACTATTTTAATAATAGATGTAGCAAAAGTGTTAGAGTTGACTGTTACTGGGTCAGTTTGGGTCTTATTCCCATTTCTGACCTACTCACTGTGGTCTGAGAGTAGAGATGAAATGTGATAGAATACCCTTTTTGGCCAGTGTGGGCTGAGTATATGTTCACCCCTGGATCTGAGATGGGGGCAGAGAATCCTGACTTACAGGGAACATCAGGGTGATACTACCAGAAGAATGGGAATGGATATGGGCCAGGTAAAAACAATAGATATTCACCACAGTTAAAATATTAGGACCATGCTCACACTATAGGATCCTTCTGTATGTTTACTATTTCAGCCTTAATATGTCACATATTTTCACAGAATTATGATGAATTATGATAAATTAAAATCACGTCTGGGTGAGATTCATGATAGCAAAATGCGTCTAGAGCAGGATTTGAAGAAACAAGCTTTGGACAACCGAGAAATAGATAAAAAAATGAATAGTATCAAACCTGACCTGATCCAGCTGCGCAAGATCCGAGATCAGCACCTTGTGTAAGTAGTTGGGGACTGTGTGGGGAGGGAGCACTGCCTACTGCCAGGCCCTGGAGATGTTAGAGGTAGAGGAGATTTGTAATCGAGAACTGACTAGTGAGATGGTAAGAGCTTAGAAAAGCAGCCTTATTAATTGTAAGGGTAACCAGAGTTTACAAGGAAGTCAGTGCATGGGGCATATTAAATGGAAAACTCTATAGTTCATGGTAATGCCTTGGAAACCTCAGAGACTGGCATGAGCAAAGTGATACAGCTTAAGAGTACAGATTGAGGCTCGGCGCCTATAGCTCAACCGGCTAGGGCGCCAGCCACGTACACCTAAGGTGGCGGGTTCGAATCCCCAGCCCGGACCCGCCAGGCAACAATGACGGCTGCAACCAAAAAAAAGATGGCCGGGCGTTGTGGCGGGCGCCTGTGGTCCCAGCTACTTGGGAGGCGGAGGCAGGAGACTCGCTTGAGCCCAGGAGTTGGAGGTTGCTGTGAGCTGTAATGCCAGGGCACGCTACCCAGGGGGAGAGCTTGGGGTTCTGTCTTAAAAAAAAAAAAAAAAAAAAAGAGTACAGATTGAAGTTTGTCTAAATCAAAAACTAGAGTCTTGGTGGAACCACAGAACTAGGAATTATCCTTCAGAAGCACAGGGAAGGACAGTAATTATGAGAGTCTACGATTAAGTACACAGAAAAATCTTGTAAATGATTTTTATGTGTAAGAAATGAGATTCTGTTTTTAAATAACAGAAATGTGTCCTCCATCAGGCACTTTAGATAATTTGAATAGTAAAACTAAATACTTTTTTTTTGTTTTTTAAGATAAAGTCTTGTTTTGTCGTCTGTATAGAGTGAAGTGGCGTGATCATAGCTCATAGCAAACTCAAACTTTTGGGCTGAAGTGATCCTCTTGCCTCAGCCTCTCAAGCAGGTAGGACTAGAGGTGCCCACCACAACATCCAGCTAGTGTTTCTTTTCTTTTAGTAGAGCTGGGGGTCTCACTGTTGCTCAGGCTGGTCTTGAATTTCTGAACTTAAGCAGTCCACCCACCTCAACCTCCCTAAGTGCTAGGATTACAGGTGTGAGCCACTGTAGCTGGCTGAATTTGGTTGTTAATGTACAATTCTTTTTTTATCCTGAGTTTAAGGTTAGTTTTTGTATTTATCACTTACTTTTCTTGGTGCAGCAGTTCCCCCTTCTTAGCAGTTTTGCTTTCCACAGTTTTATTTCTCTCAGGTCTGCTATAGTCCGAAAAGAGGTGAATACAGTGCCTTAAGACATCTGAGAGAGAGACCATATTCACACAACTTTTATTTCAGCATATTGTTATAATTGTTCTGTTTTATTATTGTTAATCTCTTATTGTGCCTATTTTATAAAGTAAGCTCTATCATAGTTATGTGTGTTTGGGAAAAACATAGTATATACAAGTCTCTGTACTATCTGAAGTTTAAGGCATCCAGGAGAGGTCTTGGAATGTACCCCCTGAGAGGGGACTACTGTATTCATTAACCTAAATTCCCAAGTTAAAAGTGAGTAACTTGCTCTAACAGTACAGGTACATTAATGATGAGTTGTGAGTAATATGTACTAGAGGCGAGGAGTCCCGTGGAGAGTGGTATGTTTTGTTGTTGTTGTTACAACTTTATTGAGATACAGTTTACATCCTGTTAATTCACCCATTTAAAATATATAATGTATTGCTTTTAGTACATTTAGAGGTATTTGAAATCACCACATATTTTAAAACATTTTCATTTCCTTAAAAAGAAACCCTGAACCATTTACCTATCATTCCCAGTCCATAACCCCAGCCCTAAGGCACCTACTTTTTACCTCTATTGATTTTATGATTTTTGGAATCATAAAATGTCTTTTGTGACTGGCTTCTTTTACTTAGCATGATATTCTCAAGATTCATCTATGTTGTAGCATGTTACCTGAACTTCATTCCTTTTTATGGCCAAATATGGCATTGTATGTATATACCACATTTTGTTTAATCATCATCAATTGATGGACATTTGCATTGTTTCTGCCTTTTGGCTATTATGAGTAATGCTGCTGTGTCATGGGCGAGTTTTTGTATGGACATATGTTTTCGTTTCTCTTGGGGAAATACTGAGGAAGGAAATTCCTGGATCCTTTAATGCTTCTGTGCTTAACTATTAGAGGAACTTCCCGCTTTTTATGGCAGTTGTACCCCTGTTCATTCACACCAGCAGTGATGGTTAGGGTTTCTGAAAATAATCACTCCTTAATATATTTCTGATAAGTAAGTTTTTCTACGTGATTTTTTTTTTCTTTTTCTAAAGTATTATATTACTTTATTCTTAGGGAGTTCTGTCCACAAAACTTGGTACAAGATGAGTTGCATTCTTCTTTTTCTTAAAATTAAAATTAATTCATTTTGTACTCCCACCTGTCTGATTATATGGGAAATATTTAATCTCACTTATCATTGGGGCTCTTTCCACCTCCCCCCCACACACACGTATTGGATCATCTAAGAATGTCATCCTGAAATAGTGTCAGGAAACTAGGGGAGCACAAACTCTTTTGTCCCCATCTCCTGAGGGTTGTCCTTGAGTGCCTACTTTGCCCCTCATCAGTGGGTCCTGCTATCTGGTTAATTATTGTTGTTTCGGAAAATTCAGAAGTATCCTTCACAGTCGTCTCCTCACTGGCCACCAACAGACTTGCATCTTAAAACCTTCTTGTCCTCCATCCAGGGTGTCTTGTGCACAAAGCACCTGTTTCTTTCACCCCATTTGATGTATCAGCCACCTTCTAGGGAAGCTTAAACTCTTGTAGGACTGCTGTTTCAGCTTCAAAGTATTTCTTCCTATCCCTTTCTCTCAGGGACTCCCTTACTTGATCATCTTGTCTTAGACCAAAATATAAACTCTTTTCCTCTTAAAGTGTGAAACTAGGGTTGTGAGACCAATTAGATCTTTAGAAAAGACACTGTGTGTGTGTGTGTGTATACACACACACACGTATATGTATATATATACACACACATATATATATATTTATACTTATGTATATATATAGTCCCCTCGCTAGCGCTAGCATAGGGGCTAGGAAAGGATATGCTAACACTAGCTATTTTTTCTCTTTTCTAACTTAACTGCAGTGTAAGCTATGGGAATAGTATTTTCTGTTTGTGTGGTTTTTTTTTTTTGAGACAAGAGTCTTTCTTTATCGTCCTGGGTAGAGTGCTGTGGCGTCACAGCTTACAGCAACCTCCAACTCCTGGGCTTAGGCGATTGTCTTGCCTCAGCCTCTCGAGTAACTGAGACTACAGGCACCCACCAGAATGCCAAGCTATTTTTTTGTTGCAGTTTGGCGGGGGCCAAGTTTGAACCTGCCACCCTCAGTATATGGGGCCAGTGCCCTACCCACTGAGCCACAGGCACCACCCTTTGTTTTTTTTTT